TAATGAAGGATCTCACGAAAAGAGAAAACATACTGTGACAAAATGATCGAAATATGGGACCTCAGTGTTTTATGTGCCAAAAGGATGGTCACATATCGCGTGACTGTCCAGAAAAAGAGTCAAAAAATTGTTTTGCAAATAAATTCGAAGAATTTCAGAAAAAGGAGCGAAGTTTGGACAAGGAAAATGACAAACAAAAGAACCCTGACGTACGACTGGTAGAGCTTACTGATGATGAATCGAAAGGAAATGGGGAATATTTGTTGGTCGAATTGGTTGATGAAGGACAAGGCGTAGGTGATGTAAGGAATCTAGGGAAAAGAAAATACGTTGATCAAAAAGCGGTTGAGACACCCAATAAAAGAGGAAGGTCACAAAAAGTGTTAGAAGTGAAACCAAGTGAAACATCATCATCAACATCCAATCAAAGTAAAGACATTAAAAATTCTGTTATGTACATACCATTAACGGAATTGACAGAAGATCTTGACGTTCTAAAGGCTGTCGCTGATTTGAAGTTTAACATTTCGCTTGGGCAACTATTTAAGTGGTTGCCCAAAGCAAGAAATGAGATCATGAGAGCATTAGCCCACAAAAGGAAAGATATTAATATCGAGGATATGGATGTTAGGTTAAGATTTGTTAAGAAAGGTAAAATATGGGATAATAAGAACGAAATAGTACCAATGTGACCGCCTTGATCAATAGAGACCCAGTTAATGTACCTATTGATCCTGGTTCCTGTTTAAATCTAATGCATGTAAACTATGCAAAGAAAAGGGGACTTAGATGGGATCGAGCATACGGAAAAGGAAGAATGGCGGATGACTGTATAAGTAAATTTATAGGATACCTACCTCAAGTAGAAGTTGAAATAGAGGGTGTAAAGACGAATCAAAGTTTCTATATAATGGAGTCGGCAAGTTTCGACGTTTTGCTCAAAATGCCATGGTTAGCTGGTGCCCAGTATAACCTTTGTTGGAAAGAAAATGAGTACTGGTATACCGTGTCGTCACCGGAAAGGCAATCGTTGTTCGTCATCTCGATGGTACTCTAGAATTGGATTGAAAAGGATGAAGACCTCGATGGCAATGAAATGGATGAATATGATGATGATGAGGATGAAGTGAATCAAGTAATGGCAGTGCAAAGATTTCAAATAGTAAAAGAGGATGAACAAACCCTAAAAATGAGTAAAGAACGAACAAAAGATCAGAATGATCGAAGCATGTCGCGTGATAGACAAACTTTTGAAACTGAAATGTCGTTGAGGACGATGAGACCAATGGTGCTGCGAAAGCTAATGGCAGAGAATATGGATTTACTGAATTTCGGGCCTGAACTCTTACCTGAAGAAATACAATATATAAAAGGGCGGTTAGTAAATGAAGTGTCAAAAACTTTCGCTTTTGATATGTCCGAATTGGGCTGTACCGATTTGGTGGAATACGAAGTGAGGACCGGAGGCGTAGAAATACCGCATATGAGATTGAGACCTATAAGGATCAACAATCCAGAGAAGGCTCAATTGTTTGAAGAATATTTGAAGCAAATGATAAAGTATGGGTTGTTGGAAGAAGGGAGAGGACCATATGCGTACCATTGTTTCCTGGTAGATAAAAAGGAAGGTGGTACTAATCAGATTCGTGCCGTTGGAAATATGAAACCACTAAATCAGCATATAATAAAGGACAGTTATCTACTACCAATAATCAGGGACATACTAGAGAAAGCAGCAGGCCATGAATGGTATTCGAGTGTCGACGCATTCAAAGGATACTGGCAGATATGAATCCAGGAAGAAGATCGAGATAAAGTGGCGGTATTGACGATGTTGGGTGTATTACGATATACCATGATGTGCATGGGCCTGAAAAATGCCAGTAAAACTTTCCAAAGACTGATGGACTTGGTTCTAAAAGAAGGAAAATGGAAAAGGATAGCCGCAGCATATCAAGACGATGTCGGGTTATGGACAAATGGGGATTTAAAAGATCATGTGAATACGTTTATTGAATTAGCTAAAACATTTGAAAAGGCTGGACTCACGTTCGCCGCAAAGAAATGTCACATAGCATATAAACAGTTAAATATATGCGGTTATGTAGTGAGTAAAAAAGGGAATTAAGGTAGATAAAAAGGGGTTAAAAAGGATACAAGAGTGGCCAGAACCAAAGAATCAAACAGAAGTCAGATCATTTCACGGTACCGTGGGGTACTACCGTTATTTTATAAGAAATTTTAGTAAAGTTGCAAAGCCGTTGACAGATCTAATGAAGAAGGATTATAAGTTCTGTTGGGGAAATGAACAGAAAGAATCATTTGAGGCGTTAAAAGGGTTACTGTTAGAGGAAGTGGTGCTAAAAGGACCAGATTGGAAAGGCACAAAGAGTGGGGAAAAGCTATATCATTTGTATACAGATGCGAGTGATGTATCAGTTGGGGCAGTCTTGGAGCAAGACGATGGTGAAGAAAATTTAAGGCCAATCACATTCGATTCGAGGAAACTAAATAAGCACGAAATCAATTATACGGTCACGGAAAAGGAGTGCTTGGCGATCGTATTTGGTTGTAACTTGAATGAGCATTATGTCAGCGATACAAATTTTAGCATATGGGTTGACCACCAGGCACTCGAATGGCTATTTAATAAGGCTGAGCTAAAAGGAAGGTTAATGCAATGGGTATTAACACTACAAACCTTCGAATTTAAGGTGAATTATAAAATTGAAAAAAGGCACAGTAATGCCGATGGCCTATCAAGGTATCCGGAGGAATGTTTGGATGAGAAAGGAAATGATGAAGAATTTGTGGAAGGTATACTAATGCATGTAGGAGGGTTTAATAATAATGAACGAGATTTAGATTGGATAAAAGGATACCTGAAACATTTTTCGTGGGCACGTGATGTGAAGTCATCTGATCAACATAGACTACAACAGAAGATGAAATGTTATTGTATGATTGGTGAATATTTGTACAAGAGAGGAAAAGGTGGCGTCCCACCAAAACATGTGATATTTACTGAAGATGAAAAATACCAAATCCTAGAGGCAAATCATCGTGGGACTGCTGAAGAAGAAGGGCATCGTGGAATCAATGCTACGGCCAGAAAAGTATTGATGAATTACTGTTGGGCTTCTGGTAACGTGTATAATGATGTAGAAAAGTTTGTGAAGACCTGTATTGAATGTCAAAAATGTGCTGTGAAAACGGTGAAGAAACTGATTCATGTGACAGCGACAAGTTGGATATTTCACAAACTGTATATCGATTGCTTAGGGCCATTGCCCAGAACATCTGGTGGTCATGAGCATGTAGTGTTGGCGGTTAAAGAATTAACTGGATATGTAAAAGGAAAAGCATTGAAGAAAAAGAATGCCAATGCAATAGCCCAATTCATCTGGGACGAAGTTATTACAAGACATGGATGTTTTGCGGTATTAGTTTCAGACAGAGGTACCGAATTTAAGAACAATTTGTTGAATGAGTTAGTAACACAGTTAAATATAGATCAGAGATTCGTGGCAAGTTACCACCCTGAAGCAAATGGACGTGCTGAACGTACAGTGCAAAAATTCACCTGAATCATAAGGAAAGTATGTGCAGAGAAGCAAAACAAGTGGCATGAATATGTGAGAAGTGCGATTTGGGCCATGAACATTACAGTAAATGACTTAGGGTACTCACCTTTCAGACTTGTCTATGGACGTGATGCAGTCACGCCAATTCAGTTAATGTTGGAAAGTTATCAAGTGTATGTTGCAAGGAAGGAATGGTCGACGGACGAATTGTTGGAATACTGAACCAAACAGATCAAAGGAATGATAGAGGATTTGAAGAGTGCACAAATTGAAAAGGATGAAATAAGACAACGATAGAAGGAAATGCATGATAAAAAGGCAAAGGTGAAAGAGACCTACCAAGAAGGGGATCTGATTCTGGTATACGATTCGACATTGGAAACGTCATCCCGAAAGCTGGATTATCGATGGATGGGGCCTTACCGAGTAAGGAGTATAGGAAAATATAGTCAAGTGTATATAAATGAATTAGATAGGTGTGAATTGAGGGACCCAGTAACGAGAAATAGAGTTAAGAAATTATTCACCTGGTATGAAAATGACCCGAATGAAACTGAAGAGGAACAAACAAATGAAGAAGACATGGCCCTCGGGGACGAGGACCAATGGGGGTCCAGCTCATGTCGCATAGTTTCCGAATAGCCCTTATATCTAATAAAAGGTATACAAGTAGATAACGAATTGAATAAGGGATTGAAAAGTGGAAGGATGGAATGAAAATGTCAATCGAACGACTCACGTGATCATGTGATCGATCGGAGTCGTGGAGGGAAGTCGAAGTGTGGGGCGGCATAATCAGATCGGGTACAATAGGTGCCGTGATCGCCAAATGCATGAATATGACGATTAGTTGGGAATAATTAAAAGTTTAATAGATTAATGACAAAGAAATAGTTAAAAGTGTAGTACAAACTATGTAATTGTTAGAATTAGATAAATAACGAATATAAAATAAAGAAAAAGACGGTTAGTCTTCTTGACTGGAAATAAAGTAAACGTATTGTAAAGTAAATACTTACAAGATCCGGAGTGCGGTGTGAGTTGTATAGTGTGTGTCTCAAGTGCCAAGCGAGACCTAAAATAAAGTTATAGCCATCTGAAGTAGATTGCAGTCGCCTCAGCGATTGCTTAACTCTTTGACAATAATATAGTCAGACCTTCTTGAATGCATATTCTCTAAATGCATAATCTCTCTAAATGCATAGCTTTACATGGTCCTAACTCATATGATACTTATAGATTTTTATCTCTCTAAATGCAAAATTTTTTGGCTGCCTATAGCTATGTATTTAGAAAGGTCTAACTGTATCTTAGATTATTTAATTTGTATTAATTATTTTATTCAGCTCTAGACATAAAGATTATTTGTTAATAATTAGAATTAAAGCCAAAAAAGGTTATAAATAAAGAATATAAATACTTATCTATTATTTTAATACACTCTGAATTATTTCATTTGCCTTAATATTTTATCAACTCTAGCTATTAAAATTAGATATCAGCAAAACTGGTTTACAAATCAAAAGCATAAATTCGGATTTACTATTCTATAATACTTTTTGAATAATTTCACTTGCCTTAATCATTTCATACAACTCTAGATATAAAAAT